AAAAAAAAAAAATAATTATTGCATTTTTTTTTTATTTTTTTTCTTTGTTGATATATTTGGTAAATTTATATTGAACAGTACACACGGGTTACACATAATAAATTGTTGCATATCAAAAAAAATAATTCTTTTTCATTTACCTATAAAAAATAATAATTTTTAGAATTTATTATAAATAATTAATTGATGTAGAATAGTGTTAAGAAATTAATCAAATGAACTTCGTCTTTGAAAAAATTGGTCCTTTTAAAATGACAATATCGAATGGATAAAATATTATTTTATTTTATAGAGTAAAAAAAAATTGGGTGGGAAATGTAAATCAATTGGAATCTGCATGCATATGCACTTGTCAGCCGATTAAGGTGGGAAACGAAGTCAACCGAGCCACACGCAAAATCGGGCATGTCGTCATATTCGGCTTATCTGATTGTATTACCATATCATTATTTTTTTGCATAAATACTATTTCATTATTTTTTTTTAATGATTTAGTGTTCTGACAGCTCGAAAAAAAAAATATGAATACCACACTTAGAGACATAAACTTGGTTACAATAAAAAATAGAAAGACGATTGGTTGTGTTTTATTGATTTGTTCATTACTTAACAATAAATTTGAATGAATGGCTTCTGCGCAATAAATGCGAAGTATCATTAAATTCGCTCCATTAAGTACTTTTCCATTGAGCACTTACCAAATGATGTATAGATACATCTACATTAACATCAAGAAACGCGATCTTTATAACTCCTACATCTAAGTCATCATCACATCATCACATTATCAATCACCATCATCATAAACTTCTTCACAAACAACAAATAATGATACCTTGAAACGACGCAAACTTCACTTTTTTCAAAAGCACCAACAGGTATTCTACTATTCTCCAATTAATAATATACTTCATACAATTGAGAATATTTTCAGAAATGATAATGAATTTTCTCTGATGCTTTGATATACAGTATTTACCCCTCCGATAGAAGAATTAAATCGTTATAGGTTAGTGAGTATCCTGTGAAATATATGGGAGCTGATCTATTAAAAGTGGGTTACGAGACATAGTAAATCATATGATTCGTACCTCAATTTTAATAGAATACTACCCATATATCGGCTATTAAAATCACATTAACATATGATAGGTAACGTGATTTTAATATATTTCTTAGTTTCACAAGGTTTATATTTATAAAGGTAGCAGAAGGTTTTTATTTAAGAAAAAATGATGCAAGAATTATTTATTAATAACAATTAATTAATCAAGTACTGCATCAACGTCGGCGCCCCTGTTCGATTTTATTAAATGAAAATCGTTGACAAATATTTCGCGATCACGTGATTCACAATTATTTATCACGCTCGTCACACCCTGCCTTTACTATTTATCTAATATTTACAGTATTTGAGGGACTTGGAATTATTTTGGCGTGAAATTATAATTTTCACATGCCCTTTAGATTTAGGGTTATTGTTTGCATAATACAGGCATATTGTTACGTGAAATTACTGCGGTTAATCAAAAACGAAATCGGGGAATTAACTAAACTAAGGAATTAATGCCATTAATGGACAGTGATTTTATTTCAAAAAAAATAAAGAACAAATAATTTATGACTAATTATTTTTATGTAATAATGCTTTATTAATTGAATAATTCATTTGAAATTTGCGTCTTCTCACGTGACTTGTACGAAATAATCCTTACCGGTCCTATTTAAAGGTCTATCTATTGGTTCGGTATGGCATGGTATAAATTAAAGAATAATTCTATATACAAAGTCAATAATCACTTTAAGTTCATTCGAAGAACAATCATTTACGAAATTTAAATGTTGGATATTTAAATTATTTGTAACAGTAGTACTAGAAATTATTAGTCTTTGATTGATACTTTCTTAGCAATATATGCGAGTTATGATAGAACAATACAATTTTCTTTTAATAATCAAAAAAAAAAATTTCAATTCAATTAAATTTTAATTAATAAATGACCTGAATGGCATCATGAACATTCAATTCCATTCCATCCAAATTTTGACAGTTTAACTATATTAGGACCAAAATTTATTTGTATTACTCTGAAATTCGAATCGAATAATACCAAACTTCTATAACTTCTATAATCCTTTTTTGAAATTCAATGTTTTAAAAATCACCCATTTAATAATTTGGTGAAACAAATATTACAGTAAAAAAAATTAAATATTAGATTTTAGAAATGATTTACATATTTTTCGAAATAAAAAAAAATAATAATAATATTTTGATTAATATGAAACTTGAATTCTATTTTTTGGTAAAGGGTTGTATTTCTAGAAAAAAAAAATATATTTATTTAATACAAAAGAATTTTTTTAATTAAATTCTTTTTTTCTAATATTAAAATGTATATTGCTTCGTTGTTTTACAAAATTAGTTAAACATATTACTGTGGTGTAACAATTAAATTTAATTACTTACCCAGTAAGATGGAGACTTTAATAGTTTAGCTCTCTCATATTTCAAGTTAAAAACAGCCTACAATAAGAGATTTGACCTTATGATATTACTAAAATTATTTCACAATTACAAAAATTTATTTTTGGAGTTATGCCTCTTAGATCATCAATAAATTTGATTTTATGACATTTCACCAATGACCATTCGACCAAAGTATTGTTTAGATGATACTATGGAATTATGATTTTGAAACATTCTTTGTCAAAGCTGATGATTTTTCGTATTGATTTCATAAATAAGGTTTAAATACGGCCAAACAATACAGGATGTAGATCTATAATTTATACGTTACTATATTTAGCTTGAGCTGCGTAAAGTTGTGTATTGTTAATTGAAAAACTTATTTAAAGAAACTCATTTTTGTTCCTGCTCCTTTTTATTTCTTTTTTCATGTTTTAATAAAAAATATTTTAAGCCTTTCTTTGCGATATTCTAAAATATATTTATCAAAATGTTGTTAATGCAAGTCCCAATCGAAATTCATTTATCAATTATTGAATCAATTATAGTATCTACAGAATCAATGAAGCAGTTGAATGGAATTTCATTGACGTGTCGTTACTTCGCTAAACTTTGTTTCTACGAGATTTGGAAAATAAAACGATTTACGAAAAATTGTTCAATGAAAAAGTTTCGTAAAACTCTATCAAATAATCCCTTAATGCCTTACGGAGATTTAATAATACATTTGCAAGTGGAAGAACCATCAATTTGTATTGATGAAGAATTAATTAATTTTTTTGCTGCAAATTGTAATAATCTTCAAGAATTAACGTTAAAATTATCTCAGAGGAATAGACAAAATAAAGCGAACTTACTTCCTTTGAAGTTGCTTGGAGATCGATTAACTAATTTGTCAATAGAAAATTATGAACATTTGGATGATGTGAAAGCAGAACTCATGCCGCATTCTTCGCCGGTTAATGGTGGACGTAGAAATAAATTTTTAAAACAACTGTATTATCATTATAATAAAATAATTATAACTCCTTCCCGTAAAGTGGCGTACAAGTTGAAAGGTAGAACAAATAGAGATTCCATTGATGATAATAAAAACGATAATGCCGATGATGCGGAAGATGCGGAATACCACGATGCGTTAAATGAGATCGTTCAATTAGGAGTGGTTAAAAGTGTTCGATTAACTGATCCCAAAATGACTCAACGGGTATGGGAAAGGTAGGAGAAAGATATATAATATATTACACTTTAAAATAAAATATTATTTAATTTACTAAAAAAAAAATTTTTTTTACTTGTACTACTGAAATAGATTTACGAGCTGCGCACAATATTTCTTGCAATCGATAACAATAAAGTTGAATAGTCCACAATTTACAACAGATCCATCAACGATTGTATTTTTATTTGGAAAATATTGTAAGAATTTAAGATTATTCGATATAGACACATTTCTCGTATCCATCTCAAAAAAGTCCACGATGTTTTTAATGGAAAATTGTAAAAATTTAGAATATTTAGATATATCAGCATCGAGCGCAACAGTTCCATTTTTTCATACATCTAAATCAATTAAATCATTAACTTTGACCCATACAGTAAGTGGGAATGATCTAGATCGTATTAATGAAAGGATGGAGAATTTAAATAGTTTATCCTTTTTAAAAATTGAGGGCAATAATAATTTTCTATTTTTGGAAAATTATCCAAATTTAGAATACTTGTCGATCGGAGTGTTTGGTAAAATGGATGAAGAAGAATTTTTAAATATTTTAAAGTTAAACTTAACCGAATTAGAATTAATTAAAACCCCAAACATATCGGATGAATTATTACATTCGCTAGGGTCAATGAGATCATTAATTAAGTTGAATATTAAAGATCGGTTACCTAACGTAACACAAAATGGTTGGATTAATTTAGTAAAGAGACCTAATTATTGCCCTTCTTGGCGTATAATAACAATTGATGATGGTAGACAAATTAATCCTGAATTTTTTAAAATATTGGAATATAAACATCTTAATTTAGAATTTTTGAGAATTAGAGGTTTTACTTATGATAACCTACTAAACGATGATACATTCGATAAATCAAAATTTAAGAAAGCTTGGTGGCATTATAAAATTCATTCTTATAATCCTATTATTCATTGGCCTATTGGATACAAAAGAAAAGATGAAAAGATGAAATGGTTATAGTCAGTTTGCGTTAAATAATTTTTTTTTTGACTTATACAAATATTTTATTTTTTTTTAAATAAAAGATTTATATAATTTTAAATGTAAATAAATAAATTTTTTAATGAATAACTTTTACCAATAAATCAAAATGTTCATTTTTAAAACTAATAATTTTTGGTTAAATAAAACAGTAAAGTTACTAAAATTTATAAAAGTTGGTAGGATAGATGTTTGATATGTTTGATATCCGCTAAAGAATTGGTAAGGAATTACTTGCAGTTATATTATGTTAAGGAGTTTGGTAAATTTGGTAAGCTGTGTTTCAGAAACATTTTCAAAAATTTAATCTGATCAAAGCAGGAGATTTAAAGGTTGCTCATATAACAACTTACAACTTAATATCATAATAAAAGATAATTCATCAATATATGTGCGTGCCATCTATGATGACAGCTCATTTATCAATTGGCATCAGACATGCGTAACTGAAATCTGAGTCACGTTAGTTGTTACCTGACGCATTAAATATATCACGTTTAAATATTTAACCGAATTCCGTGTTGCACATTCTAACGTGTCAATATTTATCCGCGTTCCGAATATACTTTCGGGTTAACAATTAAATGTTCAGTCAGAAATTGGTTAAGTGAAAAGTTTTATAAAATATTTCAATATACAATTGATAAATAGCCAAACTAATGATCTTTGAAGAATGTCTGCTGTTACAAAAAAAGTTTAATTATTAGTACAAATTAAAAAATTTGCTATCATATATAAGAAAATCACAAAAATTTGAGATCACTATCTATTTTCATAAGAGAGGTAATTAGTAATTTATGTGTAACGAGATCTATGCAATGTGATACAAAAAATTAATGTATGTGTCATTTGAGTCAATATGTAATTGGTCACTTTCGTCACACTTGTGCTACAGAACTAACAACGGTTTCCAAAACTGTTTTCTAGTTTTACGATTGCAATGAAGTACGATATGAGTGATATTGATCAATATAGAAACAATAATAATCAGGTTTAAAAGGATGAAAAGAATACTTTATTAATAATAAAATAAGAAATGCAGTAAGAATTAACTATTACTGCCTCTGCCGCCCTGTAATAGACCTTTTGAGAATAGAATTATCTAATTCAAATCCTATTGAAAAACAAAACATTTTTATATCTAATTCTTTTTCCCATGGAATTCATTACAAATACCAATTGCTTGCAGATAATGGAAGACTTAAACCCTGATTTCAGAAATGGTCACTTTGAGAGAGGTTTGCTGGTTCTGAAAATTTTTTAATAAAATTTTGATTGTACTTATATTTGCAATAAGAATGAAATTTTAGTCAAATTCTCAGAACCCCATTTCCTAGCAAACATCCCATATATTTCATCAGTCCGAGGGGTTCGAATTATTATAAAGGTTCGAAGTCTCGGCGATCAATTTTTAGGCGCTATCGAGAGTGACACAGCGACTACAATTGCGCCATCTTTTTCTGAAAATCTGTGGAATTATGCAAAGATCTTTCTTACCAACATCATTCCAACATTGCTGATTCTAATTCAATTTTCGTTATAAGTCTTTTGTTAATTTAGAAGTATTTCGAAATTTTAGAAAATCGAATTGATTTAGAACTATTATTGTATAATAGATATCAAAAGAAAAAGGAGATTTGAATCTTGAAAAAAGATAGAATGTTAAATCACCTGAACTCTTCTCCCAATTTCCTTAAAAAGAGAAACCTTATGATGGGTTTAGATAACATTTGATTCATTGTATATTACTCAAACACATATGGTTTTTTTTCTCGACTATCGTCTAAACTTGAATTCATTAATTCAT